CTAAGTAAAATTATATTTTTTACCCTAATGTTTATCTATTGAATATTCTATTTAAATAGATTTATTTGCTAATGGAAATGATTTCTCATCGGAAACAATTGAAAAAGGTCGAAATAATTATTATCAAAAACAAACGGCTGATACGATAAATAGTCAAATGACAAAAATAACTTCATTAATAACAAATACTCTTAATACTCATTTAAATATTGGTCAAAATTTCACATTAAATTCTTCGGAAGTATTTCTTTCAATGGAAACAATATCAATTTCATCTCTATCAAATAAATTTATTCAACAAAGTGGTAATACTCAAATTCGTATTCCATCCACTTTTAATTTAACTATAAATGATAATTCATCAATTTCACTTCGAGTTTGTTATTTTCTTTTGATCATTTTAATCATTTTCTTCCATTGTTCTTTTTAGTCAATGACTCAAGCACTTGCATTAGCTGATAATAGTCAATCGAATACAAATCTATCAAGATCAGTCTCATTAACAATATTAGATCGTTATGGAAATGAACTACCTCTTCGAACAAATCTTAATGAAAAAATTGAATTAATAATACCTCATGATCCAAATACAATTATACCATCGATGACATTACAAAATGTAACTTCAATTCAAACAAATTCTCATTATCAAATATTTAATCTTCATTTTATTAATCTTCAACAATCACAATCGGTTAATAATCGAAGTGTTTCATTAAGTTTTGAAATGAAACCTTTAGACATCAATCAAAGTTATTTATTAATCTATAGATTTGATAGTTCACCACAATTAAATAGTTCAATAAGTCAGATTGATGGATGGTCACTTCTTTGCCCTTCAAGTTAGTTGAATTTTGCTTCTAAATAAAATATTTTATTTTTAATTTAGATTTGACAAATGATACATTCTATAAATATTTTCTTAATAATGCACAAACATTTGGTCATCAATCAATTATATTCGGTATACGAGAATTAAATTTAACAGAATATGAAACTTTTTGTATAAATCAATCAGTTAATAATAATCTACCAATATCAAATCAACCGTTTAATTTTACTTCAAATTATGAATTAAGAACTTATACAGCATGTTGTTATTATTTAGATGAAAATTCTATTTGGAGAACAGATGGAATATTAGTAAGTATTACAGCTCATCTTAGAAAACGAAAACTATTGATATTTAATAAAAGGTTGGATCTGAAACGAGTCATTATCAAACTCAATGTTTTTCAAATCATTTAACAACATTTGCAGGTGGATTTCTTGTTTTACCATCACCTATTAATTGGAATTATGTCTTTCAAAATGCTGATTTTTCAAGAAATAAAACAATTTATTTAACTATTATTTGTATCTGTATACTTTATATATTCATAGTTATATATGCACGTTATAAAGATAAAAAAGATCTTGAAAAGTTAGGTGTAACACCATTATCTGATAATTATTCTACTGATCAATATTTTTATCAAATGATTGTCTTTACTGGTCATCGAGCAAATGCTGGAACAAATTCAAAAGTATAATAAAAGAAATAGAATATTTTAAAAAAAAATCCTTTTAATAGGTTCATTTTATTCTTGCAGGTGAAGAAGATGAAACAGCAGTT